GGACTTTTGTTGGCAAGGTGATGTCTCTGCTTTTTAGGATGCTGTCAAGGTTTGTCATTGCTTTCCTCCCAAGAAGCAGGCGTCTTTTAATTTCCTCCCAAGAAGCAGGCGTCTTTTAATTTCGTGTCTGCTGCCACCATCTGAAGTGATCATGGAGCCCAAGAAAGTAAAATCTGTCACTGCCTCCACATCTTCTCCTTCTATTTCCCAGGAGGTGATGGGACCAGTGGCCATGTTAGCAATTTGGTTCCTAGTTCCTCTGCCCCTTTGAAATCCAGCTTGTACTTCAGGAAGTCCTTGGTCCACATATTGCTGAAGCCTACCTTGTAGGATTTTGAGCATAACCATGCTAGCGTGTGAAATGAGTGCAATTGTATGGTAATTGGAGCATTCTTTGGTGCTGCCCTTCTTTGAGATTGGGATATATATTCTGTTCCAATCCTCTGGCCACTGCTGAGTTTTCCATTGATGATGATAAAAAAAAATAGCGCACTGGTCCTTTGATGTTTTGCTGTGGCACCAGGGTGGGTGACATGACCTTTAGCCTGGTTTGTTCCTTTTTGTACACCACACACAGAATGATTAAAGTGGTAGGAAATGGCCCCCCCAACTCTGCCTTGGCACGTCATTGCTAGCATCACTCTAGCAGCCATTGATGATGATTAAATCCTCTGTGAGCTAGCAAAAATTTAAGGCAACTTGCTAGACACGTTGGACACCTTGCTGCTCCCTATACTACCCCATGGCTCGTATGTAATGTGTTCCAGCAAAAATAGTGCACATCTTTATTAAATTTGGTGCATCCCGCTAGTTCAGTACATAGCCTGGCAGCCATTGATACTGATGATATGTCCTGCTAGTTCGGTACACAGCCTGTGTAGATTCAATAAAAAATTTCCCCAACCCCTGCTCTAGCTTGTGCAGACAGGACTTGTTCACCACTGTGTTTTGGCCTAAATTTTAACTTCCCCAAGCCAGCTAACTATTTATACCAAATTACAGCACCAAGATATCACTTTGCCTTTTCAAGGGCTAGGTTTAATTGCTTTCCCTCAGCAAGGGTGTTTTAATAACCCCCCATATGGTGAAAGGATTTGTTCCTGTGGGAAAGAAATTATTGAGACCTTAGCGCACATCATTTTAGAATGTAGCCTATATAGGATCAAATGTATTCGATATCTTGGTTCACTCATGACTAAATGTACTGGTCTACCTCCCCACAAGCTATTTGAAGTTTCTGTTGTCTGGAGAGAAAAATTACACAGTTAGTGACCAAGTTTTTATTTTCAGCTATAAGAACTCGCCAAACGCTACAGCAAGATTTTATTTTATATTATGTATTTATTTTATCTATTTTATCTTTGTATGAATGGGTCTGTGGCCGCACCATAAAAGGTCTTTTTTTTTTTTACTAGAATATGGTAAGATTTCTCTTCCCTCCTACCACTTGATGCCTTCTCTTCTGAATCTAGCTGACAGGCAGGTGCACATGCCAGGAACGCAGGAGCAAGAATAGTTAAAAGAAGTGGGCGGGGGCTCCCACTGCAAAATCAAAAGCCAAAAAAGGATCTAGCTCCATGTTGGAAGCACGGAGGGAGCACTCAAGTGCGCAACACAATACAAGATGAAGGCCATCAGGAGCTAGCACACAGACCCCCCCACACACAATAATGACTTGGAAAAACCCACTCCCTTCACTTTTTCTGTGCGTGTACACCTGTGGTTTCAGTTCTATACATTTGATCTGTGTCAATGAAAGTCTGTGCCAAATAAGTCTTGTTACCCTTATAGATGCCACATGGCTCTGTTATTCTTGGAGTGTTGATGCTTCACACAAATGAGCAGGAGGGTCAGCCCAACAGCAAGACAAAGAGGAAGAACCTCTGTTCCCCCAAATTCCACACACACAACTATATTTTTGGGGGAGGCATATTCAAATTGACGAGGCACCTGAGTGCAGCAATTTAAGTGGTGCAGAAGAAGCTGTCATCCAACAGAAAAGTATGTTTGCAGTGGGGTGGGGGTGGGGAGCCTCAGAAGGAATGGCTGGGTGGCTGCCTTTGCCGACCCTTCCCTCTCCAGCAGATGCCACCCGAGATGGTTATTGATTCTTGTCTTATGGTAGGGCCATTCATCTGGGCCCATATGTTGCAATCAAATTGAACAAGAGCTGGTACAAATAGAGCATTTCTATGAGAAAAAGTCCTATATAATAATAATCTATATAATAATCTTAATACTGCAGAGCTAGAAGGGACGCTATGGATCAAGTCCAGCCTCTAAGACACACAGTAGGGAATTGAATTATCAACCTCTGGCTCTGCAGCCAGAGACCTAGACCACTGAACTATCCAGCAGGGAATAATAATATAATCTTAGAATTGCAGAGCTGGAAGGGACCCTCTGGATCATCAAGTCCAGCTCTTATCAAGGAAGCACAGTGGGGAACTGAACTCCCAACCAATGGCTCCACAGCCAGATGCCTAAGCCGCTGAGCTATCCAGCAGTTCAGCTTCCTACTATTTAGAACTAGCCTAGCTAGTCTGGAATTCTCATGTAGCTGCTCAAGTACAGGGCCTGATATTACACATCCTCTGCTCTTAATGAACCTGAACACGACCCGGACATGCAGTGCTGAGTATTTCTTTAGGCTAGAGCCAAGCTCTAACCCAAGACACCTACTTCAAACATCATATATTCAGAAAAGGATACAGTGTGCTCTCCAGCTGTGAGCTGATCAAGAAGAGAGTAAACCCTGAAGAATTCATCTGTGTATCAAGAACTTTAAATTCTATTTTAGCAGATTTTGGCTGTCCCACTTGCCCTTTCAGGGAATGTCTTTTGCATTACTTTTATTAATGAACTTGAATGCTGTTTGCACTGGAATAAGAGGGAAATAGTGGGATAGGGGTACCCAATTCCAGGTCCATGGCCTTCACAGGACCGGGCCACAGAGATAGATCTCCGACCCCCAATGAGCATTCCCCCCGTACACCCACATGCACGCATGGCCCACCTGCATGTGCGTGTGAGCGTGCCCCACTCACCTGTGAGTGTGCCACACTGTGCATGCACACAAGCGTGCCACACCCACCTGCAAGTGTGCCACACCCATCCACACATGCCCACCCATGAGGGTGTGCCCCTCTTCCTGCACACGGACCCCACCCCCTCAACTGGTTCGCAGTTTGGAAAAGGTTGGGGACCACTGTAGTAGAGAATAGAGGTGCAGAGAATTTTGCTGCTTGTGAAATTCTGGAAGTCCGAAACAAATCTGCACACCTCTAGCAGAAAAACAAGCTTAATTTAAACCTGTAATTTTCATGATTCAAGACTTAGGGAAGAAAGGCAAGGCAAGAACTTTGTAGGGTACTAATCAAACATGACATGCGTTTGGTCCAGTGTGGGAACTTTTTGTCAGTCTCCTAGCAAAGAACAAGCTAGCAGGGAATTAGGGCTTCTACCTCTAGGCAAGAAATCTTTCTTCTGGCCTAGGTGGGTTTGATAGGCTGTGAGAGAAAATGGGGGAGATAATGTTCATGAACAGTGTACATCAAAAAACAGCTATTTGTATGTTCATTCACAGCATGCAGGAGATAGAGCTGCTTGCTCCTCCTATTATGTTCTTGAAGCTGATCATGCCAGCTGAGGAGGCAAGGGGAGTAGGAAGCAGGAGCACAAGAGTATTAGTGGTCCAATTGTTATTGGTGCTTTCCATTGCTGCTGCACCAGATTCCTGTGTTCGAGAACAGGGAAGATGGCATTATGGCGCAAGGGGGTAAAACACGCTAGGAACATTATTCATTCATGATCTTGGTAAACCTTCTAAACTCAGCAAAGACAGCAATTCTGAGGTAAGACAGGCGTGACTCAGAAAATGCATATCCTCCTTTATGATGAGACCAAAATGTTTTATTTTTTTTTTAAGGATACAATATAAATAGGTAACTTTGCAGGGAATATCTCTAAATCCTCTGAGAATCCTCTGAGCCCTTGTTTGGCTGCAATAATATCCAGCATTTTTTTGATTCCCTTTCTCTCACTTACCTTGTTCTGACTCCCGGCCAATGAAGGACAAAAAAACAAAACAAAAACCCCAAGAGTGGATATTTTGCTCATATGAAAAAGCTTGAAAGATGTAATTTAGTATAAATGGCAAAAAAGAGATAAAGCCTACTCTACTGGGTTTTTGTACAAAACAATGTGTATATACTGTTTATTGAGAATAAACTTAGATTACACAAGGTTGTATGTATATATATAGATAGATAGATATGGTATATTATAAAACAGACTTCCTTAATCATCCATATCCAATGGACTACAATCAAATTAATTTCCTATTAAAAGTCTAATTTCCTATTAAAAATTGACCCTGGTTAATCAACTAGAAAGTTATTATTAGAAAAGTAAAAAAGAGAAGAGAAAGGAAGAACATATTTGCATCTCCCAGTATTTGTCATTCTCAGTTATCCAGCTTATCAGTAGAACTTTATTTTTCACTTAAATATGAAGACATGCAATAAACAGGACACAACACAGTCAAACAAAACAAGATTTCTTTGGTGAGCCAGAAGCCAATATATAAAAAAGTTAACAGTGTTTCTAAACTTTTTTTAAGAACAAGGAACATTTACATGACGTACTATACAAATAGAACATAAATAGTGAACAAAGAGAAGCTATATATATATAGGAAAGGAGGGAAATGCACAGATCAAAATAGAGATAGCTTCGTATGAGAGACCATGACAAGCCAAAATTAACAGGCACAGCCTGATTTTTCTCAGGGTCATTTCGCATTTCACAAAACTGGTCCCAATTTGTCTCTAGGGACCTTTAGATCTGTTTTTTCAAGGATGTTATTACTGGCAGTGCAGCCAAATGGCAAGGCAGATTCTAGGGCAGTTTTAGTTTACACCATTGCTGAACAAATTCATCAATTAACCACAGTATTGTGGGATACTATTTTCTTTTTAACACGAACAATTAATTCCGGTTTTCCCCAGCTGAATTTTGTTCCTCTTCATCACACAGTAGGACATCCAAAATGAAGAATCCTTTTGGGCCCAAAAAACAATACAGTCTGTTTACCCCACACCCTGGAAACAAATTCATCCATGCAGCAACTTTATTTGAGTCAGTCCTTGGACGTTCCTCTTTTGTTTGCAGAAAATAATTGCACTGAGGAAAACCACGTGTATACATCCGTCTCAAAGCTGCAGGTTGCAAGATTGGTTGACTCTCAGGACACCACAAGTTCTCAAAGAGAGTTGATTCAATTGAATGTGGCTTCAGGCAGTGAGAAACTATATACTTCGTAGAGGAACTCTGCCAGAATCAAAATTAGCCCTGACTCTGTAAAATGTACATCACTTGAGGTTGCATTCAAAAGAAATACTTGTCACACAAAATCACTTTGTCACACAAATCCAGGGTCAGTTTCTCCACATGTCAAAGTACTGTACTTAACCTCTTCACATCTATAGCTATAGCTCTACTAGGCGGGGGGGGGGACTGGACGGGACGACGGACCCTGTTGTATTTTTTTTTTTTAAATGAGGATTAGATAATGAAGAGTTTATCTATGAGCTAGCCCTTTTTGTAACCTTCTACCTTCCTCACAAACTTCACAAGCACTGACACAACTAGAATGTTTTTCTCCATAATACTGTTTCAAAATTAAAAAACTCTCCTCCCCCATTATGCTAAAAAAAAAAGCTGATTATTGTAACAGGGATATGATTTGGGATTGCATTCTTCTAACTTTGTTCCCAAATCCATTCTATGTGCCTGGGAAAGGGAGACAGAGTGTGCCATCTGCCCCAAGCCCACCCAAGCCTACCACTCCAGTTTAGCTTTTATTGCACCAAGACGGATTATGACATTACACTTGTACATGAGTATCCTGCAACTTTGGAGGGGGGCACGCATGCTGAATAAGTGGCAAATGCAGGCACATTCATGGTCCCCACTACAAATATGGGATAGATCCTAAGATATATATCTTCTCCTATTGCCTTTAAGGTATTACTTCCTGCAGCTCGAACAAAAACAAGCATATTGTAGCACCATCAAGACGAACAGATTTGTATCTGTGCAAGCTTTCACGGATTACAATCCACTTTCTCAGATATACTGAATAAAATATTTAGATGATGAGTTTCACCCCCCATAACCAGGTACACTGTAAAAAAAGAAGAAGCTGTGGTTTAATATTGTACTAAATGTGTATATAGACGGGGATTATAATCCACAGAAGCTCAAACCGGTGTGAAGTGCCACAATACTTTAAATTTTGCTCCTTTTTTTTTGTTATATGTGCTGAAGCAAACTCACACAGATATGTCTCTGAAAACTCCTGCAGCTACTGTTACCCCACCAGGCTGCAGCAGAGTTGATTGTTGGAGAAAAAAATACTTTCCCCTCACACTCAACTGTGTCTACTATGGGGGGGGGGAAGCCTACAATATTTCTATGGGTGCACAAATATTATTCACAGGTAACAACACTGATTGTACACAAGTCATTCAGCTCTCATTCATGTTACCACAGACAAATGGTCCCACTTATTAAAACTTTTTTTAAAGTTAAAACATTTTAAGCCAACTCTGCTTCTTCCAGATGCAACAGGAATGTTTGATAACTATCCATGAGCTATCGTGCTACTTCAAGATAAAAAGAACATCCAATAAATTATATCAGTATGGCTTACTTCATTTATTTATGTACGCTTCACAGCTGCAGCATCCATACACAAACATTCATTATTTTATAAAAGGATTAAAAATGGTTATATATATTTATATATACAAAATTATTTACGTTTTATTTTATTTTTTTTTACAAAAAAGTAGGTCTATCTACCTCCATCTTAAAATGCAGAGAGCTGTAACATAGACCCACAGTTAGTGTTGTAAAAATTACCTGTTTAAAAAGTGGCCCTGGTTGAAATTTATTGTATTAGCACTTTTATTATGGTTATTATTTCTACAGGCCCTCCTTGTCATTAAAAAGAACATCAACAACAAACAGTCCTCCAGGCAAGTCTTTTTTTTATCAGTGCCAAAGCAGTTCCACATGGCAGTCCCTTGTTTGGGCTTGTTCCCACTTGCTATGCTCCTTAGGTAAAAGGTTCACGTCGCATGTTCTTGGTGGACCTCAGTAGGGAAATAGCAGTGTTCTTTAGGCAGGATGCTACTTTTCTTGTTTGTCTTCATGTTGTAATAGCAGTTTTCTCCCACGTTTACAAAAAAGAGAGCAGACAGCAACTTAACACTATTTCCAGCCTGGTGAAGTACCTCAAGACAAACAAAATATATGATTAAAGACCTCTGAGGCCAAATAGCCATAAATAAGCTGAACTTAGCATGACACCTCATGGTATATACAGGGTTAAACATACACACATACACTCTCACACACAGGCACACAGACACATTCAATCTTAAACAGCATTAAATCATCTTATTTACATTATCATTGGTGCTAAAATGGAGCAGTTTAATTATTATAAAAAAATCTTGAAAATGGAATCATCTGGTCCCTCACCAATGACACAGAAATAAACAGACTGAACAGGCTGGAATTGGTTCCCTTTTCAAAATTTCCACATGTAAAAATTCTCATATGTAGCACTCATAAGTTGTGAGCACTGAGGTCCTTAGGTTTCCCCAAAAATGCTTGGCAATACTCCTAATAATTGATGTTTTAAAAGGCACAGTAAGTTAGGACTTTGGCTGGCATGGCAGATATCCCACTTTCATCAGAGTGCATTCAGCGCCTTGAATCCTGCCATGTCCTGATCCAACGATGAAAATGTTTTGATGAATTTAATGAGTTTCCCTTTCCTGGTGAAGAATGTTTATAATAATATTTCTTAGAATAAGTCCTTTGGAATGAGGATGCTGAAAATAAAAGAGAAAGAAAAGAGGAAAACCTTTGTAAATGTGCAGCAAAACGATATGTAGGATGAACGGATGCAATTTGTTACATCTACCAGTTCAGGTTCAGACATTTCCTGTCCCAACTAGTCTTCAGATGCTGGACGAGGAGCCCTACCCTGAGCTTGGAAGTAACTGGTTACAGTAACTTGTTGTATATTACTATTACTATTACTATTACTATTACTATTACTATTACTATTGTTGTTGTTGTTGTTGTTGTTGTTGTTGTTGTTGTTGTTTATTATTATTATTATTATTATTATTATTATTATTATTATTATTATTATTATTACAAAGTACTGTATTTGATTGCATTGCGTTACAATTGTAACATTGCAAGGGAAAACATGACTCTTTGTGTTGTAATTCAGATATCTGACATCCTTGTGTAGTTATGGGATTGCTGATTTTAAAAAAATGTGCAGGAAAAATATAACCTGGTTCCAGCACTTGTTAGCCTGGTGCAGCGCCTGGTGGTGTTACATCATACTTTACTTGATGGGTGAGTGTTAGGATAAGAAAACAGAACTGTGTTTTGTACCACAAGCCTCTGATTTGTAAGACTGAGATACTTATTTTCAATAACTAACCACAATGTAATTTGTTTTACTTCTGAAAAAGAGATTATAGAGTTACATTTTAAACATTGCATCTATTAAAAATATCCCAGTACTTTCGGGGGTTTTAGATATTTCAGGTCAACTAATTACCGTATTGTTATTTTAAAAAAAAAATCTGTCCAAGCTCTAGCATGCAAATAATTTTAACGTATGAAATTACAGGGCAGAGGAGGGAGGTTTATATCTCTCCTTCACCATGTAGAGTCTTTTAACAGGCTAGTCAGTGTCTCATTTTGTTGTTGTTATGTGCCATCAAGTCAGAACCAATTTACAGCAATCCTAATATGGCTTTCACGGTAAGTGAGATATTTAAGGAGTGGCTTTCTCACAATCCCAGTAAGTTTCTATGCCTGAGTGGGTATTTGAACCCAGGCCTCCTGAGTCCTAGTCCATCATTCTATCCACTACACCACACTGGATATCACTGCACCCAGCTAGTCACAAATCCTTTTTGAAAGGCAACTCACGAGTCATGCAAGTAATTTTAGGTAAATCCCATCGTCCATTCCCTTGGCATCGGATGATTGGAACATGGCGCTGGATGAAACCATCTTTGCAGTGATATCTGATCAGTGAGTTAATTTCATAACGAGGTTTCATCTTTCCAAAAGTCTTCGCATTTTCTACAACTGGGGGCTGGCCACAGGCAACTGAAAGCAGAAATATAGGATTTTTGTCATGTTATTTTTCCATGTCCTTTTTTCCCCTTAAAAATATATTTCATATTGGTTATAAACAGAGAAAATTTGTATCAGAACTAAAATTTTCATTCAAAATTTCATTTCATTCTATTTCCACTGAAATTAGCCACAAAAAGAAGAAAATGTATTTTAAAAATTCCATACTGAAATTGCTGTTTGGGTTACCATTTCTAACAGAAGCTGGTAGGAACGTCTTTGCATATATTTTTTCCTGGAAAACTGCAAGATTTTAAAAATTGTACTCTGTTCATTAAATTACCCATGCAAGTATTCTGTTTAGATTAAACCACACATGAAAGTATACACCCATCAAATAGTGCTGTTTTACCCAATTTCTAGCACAAGTGTAACTCCCAAGGACAATGGGTATAGTGGATCCACTCTACGTGAACTCTGTAAAATAATGATTAGGGCTGCCCTGTCTAATAAAAATAATTCTATAATAAAAAGTTTGGCATTATATAGATTATTTATCAAAATGTTTGAATTCCACCAATTATCATATACAGTAACAGCACTGATCTAACCATAACCTTTAAAAAAAATTAAAAACCCTGTTTGGCAAGTAACATATTGTATAAACTCCCACAACCCTGTTTTGTTGTGTTTCCTTATGGCAAACACAACTGGGCTTTGGCAAACCCTTGAAATGCCTGAGATTAGCAATAAGGATTTGAAAAAAGGTGGAAATGCTGGTACCGAGGGGAACTCGATGCCATAAGTGAGCTGTAGTCCAAAAACACAAACTTGCATACTTCCAGTATTTTCCCCCTAAACTTTTTCAACAAAAGAATTAGCAGAGTTCTATAATATAGAAAGGACTGCTTTTTGCAGTACCCACATAGCTCTGCTTGCATTTCTGTTCAGCCACTAAGAATTTCACCCATCAGCTTGTTAAGATACTCCTTTCTAAAGCCGATGTGTATTTCAAGAGGCAAATGATGCTCCCCATATAAAAGTTTACCTGTTCCTTTCTTGCAGGTATAGGTAAGGTGATAATTGCACGGTACATCATTCCACTGGCCATTTTCATGCCAAATTATGACAACACAATCTTCTCCTGAAGAAAAGAAACTGTCTGGTTGGTTTGGCCTCCAGTTTTCATATTGCTGCAGAAGATTAAAGACACATTCATTCAAAACACAAACACTAATGACAAGATTTGAGAAAGGCTGGGCACATTTGGACTTTGCCAATGAAAACAAAATCTTGCTCAGATATGTGTGTGTGTGTTTAGTCGTTTAGTCGTGTCCGACTCTTCGTGACCCCATGGACCAGAGCACGCCAGGCCCTTCTGTCTTCTACTGCCTCCCGGAGTTGTGTCAGGTTCATGTTGGTTGCTTCACAGACACTGTCCAGCCATCTCATCCTCGGTCGTCCCCTTCTCCTCTTGCCATTACATCTTCCTAACATCAGGGTTTTTTCCAAGGACTCTTTTCTTCTCATTAGATGGCCCTTCTCCTCTCTGCTATTTCTAAGGCCTCGTTGGACAGCCACTTTGCTTTCTTGCATTTCCTTTTCTTTGGGATGGTTTTCATTGCTGCCTCCTGGACAATGCTCAGATATAGGGACACTTAAAAAAATTTTTTAAGAGAGACGATTTGGGGCAAATTAGGAGTGTTGTATGTGCCTTCTCGGTGCAAGTTTTTAAAACATGCACATTGCTAATGGACTGGTTTCTGGTTGTTAGAACTGCAAGAGGACGGAAAATGAGAATTTTATTATTTTCTTATCTCCTGTGGTCCAGAGGATAATCCTTCATCTGAAGTTGTTGTTTGGATTGCGAGGAGGCATTTGAAGATTGTACTGTTCAGTCTCTGGTGTCCACTTGTGAGGTATGTTGTCTTTTGTCAATATATGTTATATTCTTTCTTAATGATGGACAACTGACAGACCATTCATGGCCAATTTAGACAAAACTGAATCAGGTCCAGAACAAGTTGTTCAGATGTGAATTGGCCTAGTTCAAATCTTAACCAGCAATCTTAACAAAAATGCCATGACAAGCAAAAACACAGTGAGACTGTGGGCAAAATCCTGCTGCATAAATTCACACCTGTTTTATTCTAGATCAGGCACTTAAAAATGAATTGAAACCTTCAGATGCCATTCCTTTCAGGTTCTAAGGCTCCCCAGGGCTCCCTTTTGACCTGGGGAAGCCTTTGGGATCTTCAGGATGCAGAGTGATGAGTGTTTAATAGTAAGATATTAGTGCCATGTAACCTCTAACAGGATCAGGAGCACAATTGGGAATTCAATGGTGATTTTCCAACATTAAAGGCTCCCCACCAGAGATTCCCAAAGGTTTCCCCAGGGCAAAATGAAGCCCTGGGAAGCCTCAGAAACTGAAATGGAGAGTGGGAGAACAGGAAGCTTTCCATTAGTATAAATTAAATATTCCTGGCACCCAATCCGGGTTACACCATCATGAATTTATGGCAACAGGATTTTGCCCAGTCTGTTTCCATGAACACCACACACAAAAAGTGAATGCCAAGCTGAGGAGAAAATGTTTACCATTTGTTTGCTTGTTTCGTCTTATTTATAAATGACCTTCCTCCCCATAAGAGGAATAACAGGTGAAAACAGGTAAGATTAAAACACAATAAATGATACATTTAAAAAATTGAACTATCCCAATAATCAAAATATATCAAATAATTAAAGGATTTAACTTTAAAAACAAACTAACAAGCTGAAAAGCTAAAACCCATAATCCAGGGACTCAATTCAAAATGTTAATTCAAGTAAGAAGTTAAAAACCTGTCTAAAAGGGTGGGTCTTGAACTGTTGGCAGAAGGATAAAAGGAAGGGGGGCAACTTAATCTTCCATGGGAGAGCATTCTGCAATCTGGGAGCTGCGACAGAGATTCCAGCTGTCAACTCTAGCTTCCAGTTCAGGGCAAAAATCCCCAGCATTCTCCAATCATTGTGCTTTGAGGCAACAGATAGCATGGGCCCCATGCTGATGTGTATACATTCAATTTTCTCCTTTCCCTTTTGCTTGTTGTTCCTTCTCATTTTGGTTTCCCAGTCCAAGTCAATAGAAGCTAAAAGATTTGGATTTCTGAATTATGATTCAGATTCGTCGTCCTGCTAACATTGTATTGTGTCCAGCTGAATCTGAAGCAAACTGGAACACAAACCAAAGAGGGCCTGAATGGACTTGGAGTGTGTATGCTTACACAGCCCTCATTTACACCAAAGAAAGCTGAGACTGTAGCCGGCGGTTATTGGAGACACTATTTGGTATGCAGTGTACAATGCTACAGCTTTCTCATTGTTAGTTCAGAAAGCAAAATGCTTGCTTTTTCAAAAACATCTCTTTTGTATTTCTTGCTCTATCGAGGTGGGCAACTTGTGGTTTTCCAAGTGTTACTGGAATGGAGGGGAATCCCTTGCCATTGGCTAGACCAGTGATGGTGAACCTTTTTGAGCCCAAGAGCCCAAACTGCAACACAAAATCAACTTATTTATTTCAAAGTGCCAACACTGCAATTAAAACCCAAATACTGAGGTTTTAGTTTAGAAAAAAACAACTGCTTGCACCCTGCAAGGGTTAAATGCTTTTTTTTCTTCCTGTGGGAGGTATTAACGAAGAAATACTTATCGGTCCTCAAATCCCCCATTGGGCTAGACCAGTAATGGTCACCACTGAGCCCCTCCACTGGACCACTGCACCAGCAGAGGGGAGTGCCAAAATCCGGGATCAGAGGACGGGTAAGTATTTCTCAGTCTGGTGACTTATGACTTGCATGCCCACAGAGAGGGTTCTGTGTGCCAGCTGTGGCACGCGTGCCATAGGTTCGCCATCGCTGGGCTAGACTGATGGAAGCTTCAGTTCAATGCCACGTGCAGTCCAACACCATATCTTTGCTAAATAGCAACAGACCCTACCTTAAAGAAATAAGTCACTAGTTAGAGCAAGTACTGTACTATAGTCTAAGTTTTTGTATCTCAACTCTTCTTTGAAGTGAAATGACCAGAGAGGAAGAGAAGAAGAGGAGAACATGGTTGTTGTTTTTTTTAATCTGTTCACCTGTTCCTTGCAATTCTACACATTTCCAACCTAAGCAGAATTTAATAGTGAATAGATAAAAATACATTTCTAGAAGAGCAAGAATCTCTATAAATAGCAGGCGTTTACAAACTATCCGTTCCTTAAATGGTCAAAATAACACTGTTCCCAAGCACTTTTATTTAATTTCACTGATTCAGTCTTGGAACTGGTCCACTTCCATGCTTATAAAAGGTCCAAACTGTTTTGCTTTAATTCTTTATAAAGTAATCCAAATATAGTGCCTTCCTGAGCACATTTTGCCAGTAAAGCTAATGAACCACACAAACATACTGCAACCTCAGAAAAGCTTAATATAGCACTTTAAAATCTTTCCTATGGTATGTCAGCTTATCGATTACAATATTTTAATTACCTGCAACATTCTAAACTGGATGGTATTAAAATTATTGCCAGTACCAAGAAATAAAACATTTTGATTGCAAAAATACTATGGCTACAACTGTATGGCCAAAATTCTATTGCTTAGTTAAGCCTGCAGAAAGTAGAAATCATAACATGGAGCAATTTCTTGCTATAATTAACAAAACTCTACTTGGATTTTTGGGTGCACACTTACCCAATGTATAGTCATGCACCCAAAGCACAAAGCAGGAATTTGTTAGTTGGCAGCAAGAAGCCATACTATGCTATGCTGCTGCATCAAAGTGACAGTGCAGTCATGTGTCTCAAAGAAGCTGAGTATCTCAAACATCTGGTATTCTGTTTCTGAACATTGACAGATGCAGATTAATCTGTTTGTAAACTGGAAGATCATCTACTTCTTCAATAACCTGCTACCTGGTATTGGCTAGAACAAGTGATGTATCTATGTGTGCAGGGAGACAGGCTTATCTTGAAGGGGAGTTCATCACCAGATAGTTTCCCCCATCTTCTATTTTCCCTTCTGTTAGTTTCCACAGGTATCAAATGTACGGTACATATTTCCAGCCTCTGGCTGGCACAGACAGTGATTTCAGTCTTCGGGGTCCAGCAGATCCAAGCCTGCCTCTACTATACTCTCAGAATACTCCATTCTGGGACCTATTGTCAGGAGAAAGACCACTAGTAGTAGTTTTTTCACATGAAAATCCATGGAGACCTGTTCTTCCTGCATACACACCAGCCTTGATGTCGTTGTTGACATAGATACAGATATTCTGGAAACACCTACAAATGGTAGCTTAATCTTTTGCAGACACCTGCATACAGTGATTGAACACACACAAGCTGAAGAGGATCATAACCAGCTTTTAGTGCAATGTTTTTAATATATGTAATGTCTGAGTGTTGTAATTGTGTGTTGTTTGATTTTAAATGGTTTTCAATATCATTTGTTTTCAAATTGTTTTATACAGTTTTGTAGGTCACCTTGAGACCGTATGATAAAGGGTGGGCTATACATTATTTTAAAAAAATGATGCCAAGCTTTTTTATTCTGCTAGCATACATGAGGTCATGAGGCCAGATCTGCAGGCAGCCTTCTATGGATCCAAACAATACACAATACATTTCTAGGGAAAAAAATGCTGCCTTGAGTGGTAAAATAAAAATCTGCTTGTCATATTATAGATTTTACCCTTATTCTCATTAACATTTGAACTTATGTTAAGAAAGTACATTTAGCCAAATGTGCTTAGAAGCTGTCCCAGGTCATTACTCTAAAAGTAACAAGACCTGATGAAACAAGCTAGTCCATGCAGGAACATTGGGATTTCAATATGCACCCCTGCATACTTCTAGCTATGAATTTTCAGGCAATTTGTGTATACAGCTAAATCTAATTCAGATTCCAGAGTATACCAGGAAACTGGTCTTTGTACTCAAACTAAGATTTATATATTAACTAAAACAATCATATAGCTGTCCTTGGGCTATACCACATCAACAGGCACGTGTGGAATCCAGTTTGAAATCTCAGTTATATTAAAAACAAATGGAAGGCTCCTTGGATACAGAGAACTACCCTATTCATGTGAAGTTATTAAATTAGGGCAAATAGTTCAACACACAGTTCCACACCTGCATTCTGAAGCTGCATGGATTTCTTAA